CAATAGCTTTCCTCTCTCTTGAATTCAAGTATGACTCTTTTTTTAACTTGGATTGTCAATTCTAATTATCTTATAATTAAATTTAATTTTAATTGTAATTGATTCTTTTCGATTAAATTCAATGCTCAATCGAAATCTAACAAGGCTTTCTTAAAATGCGAAGCTATTTCTCGATAATCTCCACCTTATGCTTTTATGAAGCTACCTTTTGAAACATCGATCCTTCTTCTAACATCTTGCTACAAACTTGAAAACTCTAGAGAACGAAAATTTTGAGAAATCACCTTAAGAGCCTCTCCAATAGGCAGTGGAGAGGTTGTTGCTTATGCATTAATGTCAAGCACTTCTGATAGTGTGACATCAACCTCTATTGTTGCACGCTCTAAGCCTCGCTATCGACTTGTTGCAGACTTTTTCTTGACTCCTCCACCTAGATTCAAGCTCCCGTCCTTGGAACCCAACTTTGTTGCCAACTCCTCTTCCTCATGGTAGTACACATTCTTGAAGATGAAACTTCACCTTGAATATCAATTCCTTAAGACAGAACAAGCTACCTACACAATTCTTTTCAACTAGGAGGGCCTATCACGATATGTTGTGATGACTCTTTTGCGCACTTACGTTTAGTAGCTTATAGAGTCAAACACCCAGTGGACATCAGATTCTTCCTCACCTTCTAGATTAATTGAACATTCTCTAACGTAACCATGCTCCCCCTTCTCACCACTGTGATGACATCACATCTTGTACCATCCACCGTGTAGATAGTCTCCTTAACTCCTTATACTAGGGAGTCAAATAGGCTTGTTTAGGAGCATATATGAGTCGATGTTCTAGAATCTAATATCCAACAGTCACAATAAGTATTATTTTTGGAAATCATCAACACTTTGACTTGTTGACTTTCCTCCTCTAAAACTGTTAACATGTTCACTCGTTGATTTTCCGTAATATTCATTGTATTCGAAGTTTGGGCCACCCAATCCCTCATCTTTTGCCTTCTTCAATCACTCTTACCATTTGAAGCAATCTTTTGTCATATGACCCTTCCCTTGCTAAAAAAACACCGCTTAATCCATTAACTTGTCTCATTTAAAGATATCCCTTGTACGTACTAACCCAGCACCAGAACTCGACTCATCACCAACACTATGACATCGCTAAAAGTCTTCCATGAGGAGTGCTGCTTTGACCTTGTCCATGATATTTATCGCCTTGCCTACAGTTTACGGTATCTTTAGATATTGGTAACTTGCTAGTAGAGAACCCAATAAAATTATCGCTTTGTCATCATCTACAATCTTTGACCCTGTCGCCGCTAATTCGGTCATTATCTTGTTATAGTTGCTCAGATACTCCAACATTCACATATCTTTCTGTTGGGTATCTACTCAAACTCCAAGTTGGGATAGAGTTTTTAATTCTTTGTATAACTTCATGAGAATTAGATAAGGTTAGAGATCTATCATGATTAGGAGTTTGGGTTCCATCATGATTGGGAGTTTGAATCTTATTCTAATTAGGAAGTTAGACTAGAGATGGGGTTTTGGTTTCTCTATATATATCCTTCTATTGTTAGAGGTCTACTCAAACTCCAAGTTGGGATAGAGTTTTTAATTCTTTGTATAACTTCATGAGAATTAGATAAGGTTAGAGATCTATCATGATTAGGAGTTTGGGTTCCATCATGATTGGGAGTTTGAATCTTATTCTAATTAGGAAGTTAGACTAGAGATAGGGTTTTGGATTCTCTATATATATCCTTCTATTGTTAGAGGGAAAAAAAGAGAAGAAAAAAGAAGTGTAGAGAGAGAGAGAGGGAGGGAGGGTTTGGCAGTCTTTATCCGTGCAAAAGATTATAATTTGGAGGTGATAGTAGATTGATTTTGATCCCGTAGTTTTTCCCTATTGAGGATTTTCCAAGTTAAATCTTGTGTGATTTTATTTGCTGTGTTTGGTGAGTTTTTTGGGGGTTTTTACGAGATCTAAAAATCCCTACAAGTGGTATCAGAGCGGGGTTCGACGGTTCGTGGAGATTCGAGATTTGCAACGACATTGGTGGCAACGACTGTAGCAACAGCACTGTTCACCAATGTACTATAGCAGAGGAACTGTTCACGGTGATGCACTGTTCACAGTACTGTAGCGGTGGTACTGTAACGATGACAGATCCGACGGTTGAGGTTGATTTGTCTTTTGATCGAGAATTTGGAGGCGGATTTTGGTGATCCAGGAGTCGTTCCTAGGGTTTTTCGACGTATTGGGTTCGTTTTTTATGTCGGTCTTATCAAATTCAATCTCTATAGGGACTGATTTGAATTTTTATCGTGATTAGAGGATGATGACTTCTTCGGGTCCAAAGTTTGATATTCCGATATTCAATGGTAAGACAAATTTTATAGTATGGCAGTGCACGATTCAAGATATTCTTATGTAGCATGGTGTTGATCAAGCTTTGGAGGAGAAGAAACCTGAAGGATTGAAGAATGCTGAATAGAGTTCCATGCAAAAGAGGGCGGTTAGCACAATTCGTTTGGCACTCGCCCCCGAGATCAAGTACAATGTTATGCAAGAAACCACACCAAGGGGGCTGTGGGAAAGACTTGAGGGGATTTATGCGTCGAAGTCGATGACCAACCGATTGTGTTTGAGGATGGAGCTTTATTCGTTGAAGATGGAAGAAGGTACTGCAATTCAAGACCACATCAATGCTTTTAATCAGCTAATTTGCCAACTTATGAATATTGATGAGGAGATTAAAGAAGAAGAGCAGGCGCTACTCCTATTGTCTTCCTTGCTGAAGTCGTACAAGTCGTTAGTTCAGACGATAATTATAAGGAAGCAGACTTTGAAGTTCGACAATGTGATAGCATTCCTATGTGAGAATGAAAGAATGATGGGAAAGGAGAGCACATCTAATGGTGGTGAGAGTGCACTAGCTTTTGAAGGTTCTAATCGAGGGAGGAGTACGGGGAGATGTGACAGTTATCGAGGAAGGTCAAAATCTCGGACCCGAGATGACAGCGAAAAGGAGTGCTATTATTACAGAGAGAATGGTCACATTCAGTTCAGATGTTCTCAGATGTGTGATAATTTGAAGAGTATTAGACAGATGAAGCTTCAAGAAAATATTGAAGAGTATAGACAGATGAAGCTTCAAGAAAATAGGAAGAAGACGGACTCCTCAGTGGTTGTGTGCGATGAAAATGTGGTTTTATTGATGTAGAGTACAAGTACTGATGCGAGTAACACTTAGGTGTTAGATTCTGTAGCCTCTATGCATGTTTGCAACAACAAAAATTATTTTAACACATTGAAGACAGATGAAGAATTTGACGACGTGATTGTTGGAAACAACGAGAAGATGAAGGTTGAAGGTGTTGGAAGTGTTCGCCTTAAGCTTCACACTGGGAAGGTCGGAATTCTTTATCATGTGAGATATGTGCCGACATGTGGTGCTAATTTAATTTCGCTAGGTGAGATGGCATCACGTGGGTACAAGTATGTGGGTGAAGGAGAGTGGTGCAATGTGTATAGAGATGGTGATTTGATTTTGCGAGGGAGGAAGAATAACAATCATATTTGCTATTTAGATAGGCGATCCGTTAATGGTGCAGATTACTCTGGTGAAGAACAAGAAAATTAGAGTGAGTTTTTCTGAAGTCGTTGAGACACTTGGAGATTTTTCTTCGAGGGAGGATATGTTGGGTATCTACTCAAACTCCAAGTTGGGATAGAGTTTTTAATTCTTTGTGTAACTTCATGAGAATTAGATAAGGTTAGAGTTCCATCATGATTGGGAGTTTGGGTTCCATCATGATTGGGGGTTTGAATCTTATTCTAATTAGGAAGTTAGACTAGAGATAGGGTTTTGGTTTCTCTATATATATCCTTCTATTGTTAGAAAAAAAAGAGAAGAAAAAGAAGTGTAGAGAGAGAGAGGGTTTGGCGGTCTTTTTCCGTGTAAAAGATTGTAATTCGGAGTTGATAGTGGATTGATTTTGATCCCGTGGTGTTTCCCCATTGAGGGTTTTCCACGTTAAATCTTGTGTGAAGTGGTTTTTTGGGGGTTTTTACGAGATCTATAAAAATCCCTACAAAAGCAAGATGCTTTTAGCCATTTGTAGTGTTGATAGATAGAAAATTTAGAGATTTTCACTGTCTGGGGGTTGTATAGTAGACTATTCTAGCATATATCATCGTAAATGTTTCTAATTTTTTTCGTTAGATTGTTAACGTTTGCAATTCTTCCCGATTGTAAAATATAAAAATATACATTCAATACAAGGGGCAAATAAGAATATCCAAATCTAGTAGTCTTTGCTCGATTGCGTGAGATTTTGGCACCATCTCAGGCTCACTCCCAATTTATCCAAATGTAATAGAATCAATGCGGCGCTATTCATCTCAATTCAAAAGGCCGGCAAAAGGGTTAAACACAGACCCCACATTAACGAAGGCTATGAGCATCATAAACAAGGAAGATGTGCCCATTTCTAGAGTTGTTGGCTTCCCATGATCTCAATCGGTGTGTCAAACCAAGCTGGCTCCAAACAATCAAACAAACAAAGGAGGGAAAAAAAAGTTTAGAATAAAAAAGAAAAAGAAGATCAATACAAAAAGTTTGGCCTTAGTCTCCACATTTAGCAGGCATAGGGGACAGAGATTGAGTTATTGTTCTTGTATATATGTAACCCCAAAACTAATACCATCCTTCGGATATTTAACATTTTACTTTCTTTTTTTTAACCTTTAAAAAAGGATGTATCGATAATTCTTCAAATAATTAAATTCTCATTATTGGTGTTAAGATTACTATTATGTGAGCAGAGTTTCATGTCAAATAGGATATGAAAGATTTATAGGTTTAAAATGGGACCAATTTATAATAGATGTGGCTGTTAAAGCTTGTTAACTCTAAATGGGGCTCGATTTGTCCGCAATTGGATCTATTCCGCCACGAAAAGAATTAATGATGAAATATTTATTCTTTAATTTTGGGGTTGGAGTTTGGGGTGGAGTTGTTGTCGGCTACTATCTCTTCATCTATTTTCAGCCCGCCGATGTTAAGGTAAGATTTTGGTTACTCTTTGCTCAGTAATTTTTGTTTGATTTTAGTGTCGCAGATTTTTTTTTTCTATTGTGGAAGCACCTTGACCTGCTTTTCTTGAAGGAAAAAAAATATGGTGTTGGGTGTTTGTTTTGCGGGATCTGTGCTTGCTAAAGGAAATGGGTATACGTTGGTTTTTAGTTTCTGGGGGAAGGATGGGGGGATTTGCGTTTTAATAGGAGAGGAAGAAAGCGGGTCTTGTTTTTGTTTCTTAATTGCGAAGGAATTGATAGAAAAGAGACAAACATGTGGAGCTCCTGGATATGCAACTAATGCAATTCTTTTTCTTCATTACAATTAGATTGGGGAATTGTCATGATATGGAAACAAAATATGTTGATATTGGTGCCTTGGGTACCATTTGCAGAGAGACTATGTTGATGTAGGCCGACTAGTGATTCATGACATTTCTGGCTTCTGAGTAGTCTCAGGGTTAGCAGACAGGATTAGGCAATATACAAACTGTGGAAATTCACGGCATGGATAGTTTTAACCTATGGCATAATCTATGGCAAGGATAAGTTGTTGAATACCCATCTGTAAGGACTGAATACTGGGTAACTACAATTTTGCTATCCAACAAGCCTAGTTAACATAGCTGGAACAACGCGTGCGATTTGACTAAGACGCAAATCGAGAAATGCAGATGGACTGGTTACATTGTATCTAATGGACGATGAAAATCCAAGTTAATGAAAATCCAAGTTAATAATGGCTAATAGAAAAGTGAAACCCATTCAGATCTCTGGGGTCTTTTCTATGCTCCTTCTATGAGTCGTTTCCAACACCTTCTTATTGGACGGTTTAGGCGTTCATAATGAACTTGTATCAGGATTGCTACTTTCAAGTGGTCATGTAGAGTTATTACAATGAATTTGACGCGTTCTTAATGAAAGAAAGGACTGTTAGGCGTTGTTGGCTACTTTACTATCACAAATTCAATGAGTTACAAAATTGGATTAATGTAATCTTTTCGAAATAGCTTGTAATATGCTTTTCAGTTTGGATCATGATATCATTCCTGTGCTAAGCAATGAGTACAATTTGCTACTTGGCAAATCAAGCACTAGCTACTGACATATTGGTTAGGACAGGGGCAGATCCTGAAGAAGTGACGACTAGGGGGAAACCGCAAGAATAAATAAAGGTAGTTAAATACCCTATACTGTACCTACGTTGCCCATGTATACTCTAGTTGTATTTGGTTGCACTTAAATACCTTAAAGTTTCTACCTTCGGTTATGCAACCTGAGAATCCCCCCTCCCATCGAAATTCTCATGCAACACTCACATGCTAATTTTAGAACATTTTAACCCTTAATTTTTTGTTAAACTTATAAAAATCTCATTTTAAATTAGAATTAGGGTAGGTTTAAAACAGGATTTTGATAACATAAGATTTATAAAAAAAAAAGCTTTAATATGTTCGAAGATTAGCATGTGAGTATCACATGAGAATTTTCGGGGGAAATTCTCATGTTTGCATAGCCGAGGATACTAAAGTGCAAATTTTAAAAATTTTAGGGTATTTACGTGCAACCAAATACAACTGGGGATATATGTGTGTGTGTATAAAGTAGGTGAGGCTATAGGTTATTTTATTGCAATTAAGCCATAAATAAATGATGACCTAAATATTAAAGGGATTTTGTTTTGGAGTTGTGAACTTGTGGTCTAAGGTTGGATATGCGAATGACATGGCAAATTGAAAGGCTAAGATTGATAGTGGGGGATATATATCGTCTAACTCCTATTAAGTCACTTTGTTTAGGAGATTTGTAACTGATATTTTGTAAAAAATTTCTGGGGCCAGTGGTGTCAACTGCCTCCACTGCCCCCATGGTGGATCAGCCATTGGACTAGGAGCAAGGGCGGAGCCAGGGTACTTTGAGGTTGGGCAAGTGCCCTACCTTAAATTTGATTGTAAGTGCCTATTTTTGGTACATTTGCATTAATTTCCTTAACTAGTATTCATACATTTGAATCAATCAATCTACCTAATTATAATATCCATTTAATTGTGACTTTTAACACCTAGGATTTGTACATTTTGCATACAAACTTGGAATATGATCCATTTAATTATTTCTTCACATATTAATGAATTTCAATCTAATTGTGAACACTTTCCTCTTTCAGTGGAAAAGTACATTCATGCTTTTTAATAATATTTTTTGTATAATTTTCATTGCCACTCTATTTGTGCCTTGCCTGGTTGAAATCTCGCTCAGATGCTGAGTAGGAGACAGTGATCACACAATTCTGGATAAAGTCCTTGTTACTCGTCTTATTTTCAAGTCCTCTTGAGTGATATAATTATGTAAAAAGTAAATACAGCAGTCTATGCATGTGATGTGGGGGAGTACATAGACTTTTTGTAGCTCTTTTCATTTAGTGAAGCTCTCTACACTACATTCACCATATCTTTAGGTTTTTCTCTCCATTTTGACTGGTTGAAGAATCTGGTGAAGGAAATATGTTGCTGTGTTGTAGGCTCCTAGCTTTATTATAAATCCATTACATGGTCATGTACTGAAATGAATATTGCATGCCTATTAGTATTTGCATGTTAGATAGTTAGTGACTTCTATAAGAGAAGAATGGCACTAAACTGTGCTGCAAGGATTACAGTCCTTAGGGTGTACTGGTGTAGATGTAATACTGGTTATACACTACTGTAATAGAAGAAGCATTCGAGCACACATTCTATGTGAAGTTTGAATTTACAATGAGATGACAAATTATCCTCAACTATGTAATTCTAGACCTTCAACAAGAATCAGCAGAAAGGGCTTACATTGTTGATTCTTGCAGTTGGAAGATAGCTTAACGTTTGTGGTTGACAGATATTAGTTTGATTGGCTAACACTGATGGCACTTTTTTGTTTGTTCTCCTTGAAGGTTGATTGGCTGGACGAGTTTATTCCATTGTAATTAAATGTGAAAACATCAATGTTCTTCATAGACATATTAGCTTATATTAAAAAAACCATAAATGTTGGTGTTTCTTTTGTTTTCTTGTTGATTATAATGATTTGTTATTGTTATTCCATTGTTTTCTTACCAGCATCCTACAGTTCGACCACTTGTTGAACTTGATTCAAAAACTCTGGAGCAGATGCTTCCTGAGATTCCCTTATGGGTGAAAAATCCAGACTTTGATCGGGTAAAAAAAAATTCTGCCAGAATAGTTTAAATGTCTATGGTTTATCGTTACTGATTATTTATTATTACCTGTAAAACTGATGACACTTTTTTGTTTGTTTCTCCTTGAAGATTGATTGGCTAAACAAGTTTATTGAATATATGTGGCCTTATTTGGACAAGGTATGTAGGTTATTGAAAGGTTTTGCACTATTTTAACAGGTGGTTCCTTCTATTCCTTTATTTTATATCTTCCTCCTTTTCCAGGCAATCTGCAAGACAGCTAGGGAAGTAACAAAGCCAATTATCGCTGAGAATTGTGCCAAGTATAAAATTGAATCCATTGAATTTCACACTTTAACCCTCGGTTCACTTCCACCGACTTTCCAAGGTCTTCTCTCTCCCCTCGCCCCTCTCCCTCTCTCTCCCTCCCTCCCTCCCTCACGCACGCACGTGAAGCACATAAATTCACACACACACTTCCATAATCAGTGAAATGCTTCACATTTAAAAAAAACACAACCACTGTTGTTCAAAATGATCTTTTAAATAAACATTATTTTTAATCAATTGAATGCCTAGGCCTAGATGCAGTACTTGGAAACAGAAAGGATATCTTACTGAATTTATGAGATAACATATCACGGAGCGAGAAAATTTTATCTCTAACCTCCAGTAAGTTTACAGACGCTGACTATTGTTTTTGTTCCACATGACTCGTTCCCATGAATACTGCTTGCATCCTACTGGGATGTAATGATACTCCCCAAATTCATCATCTTCCTATGCTGTGTCTTGACACCCTACTAAAACAAACAAATGAGAAGAATCAATACATGCTTATGGAAACACCTAGTTAAATTAAATGACTGCATTTTCGTTCTTCTGCATATATGGGTTTTGGTGCACTCTCGACTCAGAGTGCTACAATGTCTCCTCAGCAGCAAACATTCCTTCTCGAGTTTTAAATGCTTCTTAGAATCAGTTATCATTGTGTGCGATTTAATGCTTAATTTGCTTCCATTAGGATGCTCAGAAAGGAAATAAAGAGCAATAGGTACATGTAGTTTTTCTACCTTTGACTGAGGAGACACCTTTAAGTCCCTGTTTATAATTTAGTGGCATATGTTTCTTTATACCATGTTGTGTATAGTTGTAACTGTAAACGTGAGCAGCATTTATTAGTGGGGGCCACAAGTACGTGAACAACTTCACGTGTACACACCCATGTCTAGAGGTCAGGCGAAGTGGCCCAAGTGCGGCCCAAATGTGCATACTATATAAATCCTGGGATTTTCTCTTCCTAGGTCCGTGCGAGGAGGTTTTGGCGGCTACACGTGCAATTGTGAGGGTGCAGGAGATTTGTTAGGCGGCTGTAGCAAAGAAGGAACAGAGTCGGCTTTCTTTCTGTTTTGTTTCTTTGTGTTTGAGTAGCCCTTCTCTAGGGTTTTGTGCATCCTTTTGTAGAGAGAGTTTGTGAGGGATTTGAGAGAGTTTATTTGAGGGTTTAGATTGTGAGTGATTGTAAACCCTAGTTGTATTCTCTCCTTCTATTAGTAGATCTCCACCCTCCTTGCCCCGTGGACGTAGGCAATTTACCGAACCACGTAAAAATTGATTGTACTGCTATTTGTGTGATTTGTAATAGCTTTTAGGTTCCCTCGACGCGCAGTCCTAGAGCTGACGAGAGGAAGAGCTAATATCCTACTTTGATAGGATATAGGCTTCAGATTCTTGTTCCCTTTGAGAAACAAGAATTCTTATTGCGACCTGACTCTCTTGTTGTGCTGTCGAAGTGTTGCCAAAATTTTCGTCGCGCGCAACAAGTGGTATCAGAGCCCAGATTTCAGATCTAGGGTTTTGGAGTTTGGTAGAGGAAGATTCAGTTGGAAGCTTGGTTTTTGGAGTTCTAGGCTTCGGTGGAGATAGTATTAGGAGTTGCCGTTGGAGATTTCGCTTTCCTCGTGTGGATAGGAGATCTATTTGGAATCCGATCTAGGGTTCAGTTGGGTGGTTCTTAATTTCTATCAAATTTGTTCTTTCTCTACAAATTGGAGTTAGTTCGTAATGGGAGAAGAAGGTGAAAGCAGCAAATCGATGGCGAGTACAATACAAGTTGGTTTTCAGAACACTAAGATTAGTGGGGGTGGGGGGGTGCACTACAACCGGAGTGACAACCTCCACCTAAGTAAGTAAACCCCGGGAGTTGAGGCCCACCTTTAATCCCACACAACACCAGATAAATGCGGGCCCAGGAATCGAACTGAGGCACTCCGGGTTCATATTGGTACATCCAAACTACCTGGGCCACTCATTGGTGGTATCAAATCAACTTAGATAGGCTAATTTGTAACCGCAATGTAAAAAAAAATCTATTAACAACCTCCGCCTAAGTAAGTAAACCCCGGGAGTCGAGGCCCACCTTTAATCCCACACAACACCAGATAAATGCGGGCCCAGGAATCGAACTGAGGCACTCCGGGTTCATATTGGTACATCCAAACTACCTGGGCCACTCATTGGTGGTATCAAATCAACTTAGATAGGCTAATTTGTAACCGCAATGTAAAAAAAAATCTATTAAATAATGTAGTTAGTTTATCTTATCTTGCTTTATTTTAGTCCTACATTGCTTAGGTTATTAGGACCTCTATACTTTCTCTTGTAATTAAATACCTTAACAGAATGAATAATAAATCAATTTCTCACAAATATCTCTGTACTTATCATGGTGTCAAGCTTTCTTATTTGTCCGGGAGAGAGTTCTTCCTTCTTCCTCGAACTTGAAGCCGTCGAGGGGGTTTCGCTTCGCTATGCTCTTCCCCTTGGCAGCTTCGACTTCCAGCAACACCACTGCCAAGCCTTCCTCCAACAGCAACTCCTCCTCCCAATGCTTTGCCGCTGCAACCCCTCGCCTCATAAAATCTTAGCAGCGCCTCCACCGCAAACCTCAGCGGCTCAAAAGCAACCCCATCTCCGTTGCACCATGTCCCAAACCCCCAAACTCCATTCCTCTTCCACCAATTGACCATCGACCGCTTCCCTCCCTGGACAAAACCCACCGCCTTACAATATCAACTAGTCAACAACCCAAATCAAACCTCACCCTTCATACCTTCACGCCTCCAAATCCTGACTTTAGATCTGTTGCAAACCGCTGTCAGCCTCACCTCCACTCACGAGAAATTCGAGTGGAGGTAGGTCCTGCACGAGATTGGCTCTCCCCCAAACTCTCGCACGAGATCATCCCCAAATGCGTGGTTTTCATGGCCGCCCCCATCATCATCTCCCTGCTACGACCATTGCAGCAGCACCACTCTCTCAGTGCCTAATTGCGCACCCTAACCTAGCTCGAGAACCCACTGTTGCAGCCTCGTCGCAGCCTCATTGCAGCCCTGTTGAGTGGCCTTTAGCCCCAACCTCGCGCCATTCTCTATCTTTGGCCACCGCTCAATGAGATCCACTGGCAGTCATCACTCTTCCCCACAACCTTCGTTTACGCCCAACTAACTATCAAGACCCCATGGCACCCACCCCCAACTCTTGCTCAGCCCTCAACCATCATGCCCAACTTTTCGTCACCCATCGCAAAACTACCACTTCCCCATTGCAGTCAGTGCAACATCATTGCTTCACTGCACGCCCGCAACATGTTTGTTCAAATGCCTCATCAGATCACCTACTGCATAAACGAGATGCGTTCAACAAATGCACACAAGGTGTTCGACAGAATGCCTGAGGGACATTTTCACCCTCTTCTCTTGTCTAGAACCCCCGACCATGCTTTCCTCTGACGAGCACCCCGACCAAGCTCTCCTCTGACCAACACCCTAGGCCATGCTTTCCCTAGCCAGCATTCTCGGCCACGCTCTCTCGTCCAAGCACCCCAGCTAACCACCTCAGCCAAGCTCCCTCCGGCCGAGCATTCCTGGCCAAGCTTCCTCTGTCTAAGCTCTCATCGGACAGCTACGCCCTCGTTATCTCTGTCCAAGCCCTCACTGGATAGCACCGCATCATCTCCTACTTGCAAGCAAATCATTATGCGCACTCCTCGGCAAACTGCCTTGGAACCCAAATACAATTTGAGAGGGGATATTAAATAATGTAGTTAATTTATCTTATGTTGCTATTATTTTAGTCCCACATCGTTTAGGTTATGAGAACCTCTCTACTTTCTCTTGTATTTAAACACCTCAGTAGAATGAATAATAAATCAAATTCTCTCAAATATCTCAATACTTAATATCACACACATAGCCTAATGTTTACTCACTATATCCGACAGAGTTGATTTTTTTGATTTGGGGATATTTTTTCGAAAGTTGAAGAGTTCGGTGTAGTTTTGAAACACTGAGATTTGGGGGGTAGTTTTCAAAAGGCACATGATTTAAGGGGTATATAACAAAAAAAAAACCCTTTTGAAAATAATTTTCATATCGTAACCTTGTTTAATTTTTCTTGCAGGTTGGTAAACATGATTTAATGGGAATGAATGTTGTGCCAGTGAAGGAACTTGTACCTGATGAGCCGAAATCTATGACGCTGAACTTGCTGAAAAATATGGATCCTAATGATCCTCAAAATGAAAAATCACGTGGAGAGGTTGTTATGGAATTGACATATAAGCCCTTTAAGGAGGATACAACAACCGAGATGGCTGATGATGGGAATGCGGTAGAAAAGGCTCCTGAGGGCACTCCAGAAGGTGGTGGTGTTCTCGTAGTTATTGTTCACGAAGCTCAAGATCTTGAGGGGAAACACCACACTAATCCGTATGTGAGAATTCTTTTCAAAGGAGAGGAGAGGAAAACGAAGGTACCTTGAGAATGTTTTGTTAAGTGTTTTTCCTTTAATTTTTATATCAGTTTTATATTTTGTTTACTTGCGATGAGGGGCTTTTATGGATGCAGTACATCAAGAAAAACAGAGATCCAAGATGGAATGAAGAGTTTCAGTTTACATGTGAAGAACCACCGATTAATGATAAACTTCATGTAGAAGTCCTTAGTAGGCCATCAAGTCTTGGCATTCACTCCAAGGTATGTACCTGTTTGAGAAGTTTTTGAGTATCATAAGTACTATGGTAATGAACAATTGTGTCTTGTTGTGTAGTGTACATAATGCTAATATGTTGTTAGCGTTATCTTAACCCACAAAAGTTCTTGACGTTTATATTGGTGACACAGTTTTTACCTGGTGCCTTGTGATATTTATTATTATGTTCTAATTTCAGGAGACCTTGGGCTTTACTGAAATCAACCTTGTAGATGTCGTCAACAACAAGCGAACCAACGAGAAGTACCATTTAATCGATTCTAGGAATGGTCGTATTCAAATAGAGTTGCAATGGAGGAGCACTTGAGAACTACTAGCAGAAATTTCAAAAGGGAAGAGAATTGTGGTTTCATAGGAGATTTGTTGTCTGCGCAAAGCCTTGAAAGCTTTATGCGCTCCATGGTAACGATTGCCCTTGTACATAAAATGCTCGATTGCTTCATGTTTCTTTAAGCATTTGTAAGTTCAGTGTTGTTTGTGACGGCAAATTCTAGGAAAATCCTTTTGTGGTACTGTTATCTGTGTAATTGTTTGCTCGCTTTCCACAAATATTGGGTTATAGCAATTTCTTTGTACTTTTAAGGAATATAATTTACTTATTTGTGTGTGCGTGCATATTCTCTCCCAAGTAATGTGTATGTTTGGATGCTCATCATAGCCTTCTACTGTAAAATTAAACAGAACAAATTTTGCGCATCGTCTGTATGGATAACCGCAGGTAAAAAAAAACGTTGAAAAACGAGAGAAGACAAACGACAGTGTGTAAGGGCGCGATTTGTGTATTGCAGAATGGAATATAATCGTGAGAATATGTATAACCGAACCAATACTAAAGAACATTAAATCATTAATCTAAGCGGAAAATAACATAAAGGAAAATGGACAAATTTTCAAAACCAACCCTTTTACACATTTAATTGCAAAAACCGACCCCTTTTCAAAATAATTGCAAAAACCAACCTGTTTTCAGCCCAGCGCTGAAAACAGGTCGGTTTTTGTAAAAAAATCTCCGAAACATCACGGGAGTTCAACTCCCGTGAAGTTTATGGAGAAATTAAACTTCACGGGAGTTCAACTCCCGTGAAGCTTAATTTCTGCTTAAAACTCCACGGGAGTTGAACTCCCGTGGAGTTACAGTCAGCAATTCCAGAGAATCGAGTCTCTGGCAAATTGTGACTGCAACTTCACGGGATTTCAACTCCCGTGAAGTTGCAGTCCACAATTTGCCAAGCTCGTCGTCCCTCGAATCTCGTCGCCGACTCCTCCCGTCGCCGACTCCTCCCTCGAAGCTCGTCATCCCTTGAAGCTCGTCGTCCCTCGAAGATCGTAGTTTACTCCTCCCTCGACTGTCCCTCTCGAGTCATCAAAATGTAAGTTGGTTGAAGCTTAAAGTTACCATTATTTTTGATTTTTAATTTATACTAATTGCTAAAGGTTACTTCTTTATGCCTTTTACAGATAATTTTGCACAAGATCTGATCTCATCCCTTGCGGATCTGTAATTTCAATCGGCTTCATTTAATCGTCAGAGGTGAACTCTCATCTTTCTTTACTACCTAATAATCCGGCTCAATGTTTTTCTCTGTGGCAAGTGACGTAAATCATTAGTGGTACCATTAGTTATCAATGATGCTCTGATGGTCATTTGATTTGCTCGACCTTAACAATAGGAGTCATTAGTATGCTTAAGTGACTGGGCAGTTAGGTAAGTGATATAAATCATTGTGTGCTAGTAGTATCTTTAGAAGTTCTGAACTTGAGAGAAGTTGTGTGCTTTGTATGATAAATAAAGCTACAACTTTGTCCTCAGATAACAAATATCACATTGATGAATGTGGATTTCGTGATTGGGCGGTTAGGTGTGCTTCAACTGATAGTATTCCTTAAGAAAGTAATCGTATAAGCTGAAGGTACAATCGAAGTAAGCATTGGGATCTCATTTTGAAGATGTATCACCAAAGAAGAAGCACCTGAAAGGAAAATAAGAAATCTCAATGACAAAGAAACAGATGGGAGAAAATCGAAGAGACATTTATGAATTACTTATTAAAGATGTCACCCTGTAAAAATAAACTCAACTAATG